TATCCCTGTCTCCACTCTGAGATTGCTCCCTACCCCCCAACCCACCCCTTGCCCTGCCCTGACACCTCTCTGACCCAGCTGTGACCTCTTCGTGTCCCAATCCTGACCCTGCCCAGACCCCACACTGAATGCACTCAGACCCAGTCCCAACCCCCATGTCACTGACCCACGTCTACTGGGCAGGATGCGTCCATGGCCACAGTCCCAACTTCCTGGAACCTCTCCAACTGTCACAGAACCTCCCCGCAGCCCCAGCTTCAGGCCAGCCCGGAGCCCTGAGGCCTGCCTGAGGACAGTCGGAGAGACCAAGAAACACTGAAGAAAGGACAAAGAGGTCAAAAGGCCAAGGGACAGAGCCTGAACCCCAAAGAGAGACCAGCAGACTTCCAGTGGCCACTGAGGTGCCAGGAAAGAAGGTCGGAGGCAGTTGGCAGACTGTTGAGTGCATCTAGGGACTGGCTTGTCCCTCTACCACCACATGTCCCACAAGTCCCAATCTGGCCAACAGAGCAACAAGGCAGATGTCCTTACAGAAGATCCCAAAGTGAGGCCCAAGATGAGACTTCAACCCTTTGCCCAATACCTCCAGGCTAAGTGCCCAGGACCCTCCACCCATTACCCACTCTAGCCCGGTCAGCATCCAAGAACCTCAACCCATTCTCCACTCTCCCCGGGTCAGCGTGCAAGAACCAACACCCATTCTCCACTCTCGCCGGGTCAGCATCCAAGAACCAACATCCATTCTCCACACTTTTTAAAAAGGGGGCCATGGGGAGCACTTTAATTTGGAAATGAAGGATATTGTCTTCTCTTGCGGTAATTGACCACAACTTTCAGTTGAATTAAGAGAGCATTTTTGGAGAGTGACGGTGACATTTCCGTGTTAGCAAATGTTATGTGTCCAGTCCGTCTGTTAGGTCTCCCCGATCGTTTAACTCTAAGGGATATGGGGTGGAAAAGGCCTCACTTTTATGTCATCTAAACTAGGGCGTTTTCCTATAAGAAAATAATTTCCGCCCTGTCTCCCTTTTAATTAAATGGAAAACACTTCCTATACTATGAACATAAAGAAAAAATTACCCTACCCAGGCCCTAGCTAGGTAGCTCGGTAGGTTAGAGCATCGTCCTGATACACCAAGGTTGTGAGTTTTATCCTCAATCAGGGCACATACAAGAATCAACCAATGAATGTATAAATAAGAGGAACAACAAATCAATGTCTCTCTCTCTCTCTCTCTCTCTCTCTCTCTCTCTCTCTCTCTCCCTCTCTCTCCATTCTCTCTCTCTCTCTCAAAAATTTATAAATAAAAATTACCCAGTACTCCATTCACTACCTGAAAAAACAAAAACTTTTCCTTTTCACAAATCATCTTTAATTCATGTCATTTAAAAATACAGCTAAAATACCCAGAATGACAGAATTCCTTATCCACTACCTCAGAAACCCCAAATTAAAGACCCAGTACAGTGATGTTAATCTGGCTTGATTCTTGAGGGCAACCTGTGTGCCAGGAAATGGGCCAACCTCAATAACTCTTCTCCTGACAACCAAGGAGTTGGTTCCTGCAATTATGCCCACTTTACAGATGGGGGGAATGAGGCTCAGAGAGATGGAGTGTGTCCCGACGGTGGGAGGCAGAGGCCAGACAAGCATTCCAGTCAGTTGGCCCCAAAGCCTGTGGTTTTAGACACGCCCATGGCCCACAGAAAGACCAAGACTTGCACTTCCAGTGTCCTCTGCTAGGACATTGTCAGGAGCCTCTTATCCTGCTTGTGAGCAGAGATACAGGGGGGCAAAGGAAGTGGGGAAATAATGGGCAAGAGCCACCCAGTTACACAACCAGGGGCACGGGTCTTCACACACCTGCTGTCCAGCCTCCTAACACCTGTACTCCTGCAGGGACCAGCATGGTATTGGGTATCCTGTTCTATCTGCTGCAGGCCCGTGAGTTCCTGCAGGAAGGCATGACCTACAGTCTGGGGCGTAGCTTCTACCTGGCGTGGATTGGCATCTTCTGCTTCCTGTCGATTGGTCTGAGCTGGGATGGGGTTGGGTTTGAACAGGTTTCAGTGATGCCGATGGGGGACGGCCCGGGAAAGAGTTGGGGATGAGGATGGGGTTGGGTTTGGGTTAGGAAATGGATTATTGGGGGCAGGGTAGGGATGGGTTAGGTTTGGGTTTGAAGGTGGAGGGTTGAGGAAAATACAGGTGAAGGGGTTGGGGACAGTGTAGGGGATGAGATGGAACTGGGGACAGGATTGAATTTGGAAATGGATTCGGACAGTGCAGGAATGGGGTTGAGGTTGGGTCTAGGGATGGATGTGGGGACAGGGTAGGGGGTATCATTGGGCATGGGGAGAGGACTGGGGTCCAGGTGGGGTTGGTGAACTCTACACCTCACCCCCTCTGCTTTCTTCCTCCCTCAGGATTCATTTCCTACATGAACTACGTGAATTTCTGGTTCATCCTGGCACCCCAGGCCATCTGGACTTAGGACATGGGAATGGCCCTCCTTCCTTCCTGCTCCCACAGCTCCCTGCCACGGGGCTGACGACCCTGCTCTCCGGCCCTCACACCCACCCCGACTCTTGTCCCTTTTCAGTCCCCTCTGAGTCTCCCCCACTCAAATTACTAATCGGTATTTTAAAATCTGTACTTTTGGCCAGAATATGCTTTGGGCTTAGTACCTTGTCAGTGTTCTGTGGAACTGTCATACCTCCTGAGGTCATCCCTTGGGCCCTGTGGGGTAGAAGGATGGGGCTTAAGGGTAGAAGTGAGGGGAGGGAATCATGACAAAGAGACTTGAGGCACAAGGCCAGCCAAGAATTAGGCCAACGAGTGTTGGAGACCAGGTGTAAGCTGACATTGTCCCTGCACCTGAAGGGGCTAGCACGGCTGGGACCCTTACCCACACAGTTTTCCCAGACGTGTTTGGATGGCGGTTATCAGTAGAATGAGAGCAACCTTTGTAGAATGAGAACAGCCTTTCATGGCTTATCAAGAAGTCTGTAACTATTTACTGAGATTTGCTGTACCGACAATTTGTCCTTCTGCTCTGTCTCTCCCTTAGAGATTAAGAGGAACAAAGAATACATTCCTGTTGACAGATGTCCCATTCAGTGTTTTGTGTATAAAAGGCATTGTGTGGTTAATAAACTTGCTGCAGTTCCTCGATTGATCTGTAGTCCTCCGGATCCCGCTCTCCTGTCTTTCTTTCTTTTCTCAATTCCCCCCTCCCTACCTCAGCCCGGTTCAACCTGTCAGGCTGGCCCTGACAAAAGAGGAATTTCTTCCATTGCTTTTCAGAGAGAGAAAGTGGAAAGGAGGTGGAGGGGGGAGGGAGGGAGGGAGAGAGAGAGAGAGAGAGAGAGAGAGAGAGAGAGAGAGAGAGAGGGACTTCCAGGCAGAGGGAACGGCAAATGCAAAGGTCCTGGGGTGCAACTGTGTGCTTGGCAGGTCCTAAGAAAGCCCAGGGAACCAGCGTGCCCTTGGGGGCCTGGGCAAGGGAGGGGAGGGAGGAGGTGGGCGCAGCGGGGACCAGGGCACCTCACTCCCAGCCTTGTGGCCACAGGGAAGCCCTGGCTTTACTCAGCATGAGGTCCGGGTAGGTCACAGTGGTTCTCAACCTTGGCTGCACATTACAATCACCTGGGAATCTTTTTTTTTTTTTTTTAAATATATTTTATTGATTTTTCACAGAGAGGAAGGGAGAGAGATAGAGAGTCAGAAACATCGATGAAAGAGAAACATTGATCAGCTGCCTCCTGCACACCCCCTACTGGGAATGTGCCCGCAACCCAGGTACATGCCCTTGACCGGAATCGAACCCGGGACCCCTCAGTCCGCAGGCCGACGCTCCATCCACTGAGCCAAACCGGTTTCGGCTGGGAATCTTTTTTTAAAATCCTGATTTCTGGGCCTCATCCTCTGAAAATTCTGTTTCTTTGTTACTAATGTTGGGCCTCACCCCATAACAAAGAAACAGAATTTCCGGAGGATGAGGCCCACAAATCAGGATTTTAAAAAGATTCCCAGGTGATTCTAATGTGCAGCCAAGGTTGAGAACCACTGGGATAGGAAAAAACGCCTTGTTTTTCCTAAGAGAGGAGTTCGAGTCTCTTCCTTTCACTTCGGACTACAGACTTCAGGGAGGAATCTCCCAGCCAGAAGGAAGGAGAAAAACCCAGATGACGAGGGGAACCAGCTAAACAACATGTGTTCTATTCACACGTGTGTGCATGTGTGTGTGTGTGTGTGTATATATGTGTGTGTACATGAGTGTTGTGTGTGCGTGTGTGTGAGCCATAAAGAGTCCGCACCAAACTGTTGACCACGGCGACCTCCGGTGTGTGGGTTGATACAGAAAAGTTTCCTTTTTCATCTTTGAAAAACAAAACAAAACAAAACAAAACATACCTTGGTTGCGGGCACATCCCCAGTAGGGGGTGTGGAGGAGGCAGCTGATTGATGTTTCTGTCTCATCGATGTTTCTAACTCTCCTTTCCTCTCCCTCCCTCTCTGTAAAAAATCAATAAAATATAAAAAGAAAAAAAAAGTTTTACCATCATGTCTGATGACACGCCTTAGATCGCCAACCTACCATGAAACCCAGCCCCCAGGACTTTGGCGATCTAAAAACCGGGGAACGAGCCCCAAACACGGTCCTGCCTCAGCCCCAGAGTCCTGTCCTCGTCCTCCTCCCTCGGACCCGGAGTCCAGGACCCCAGCCCGGCCCCCTCTCCCCGCCTCCCCGCCCCCCGCACCTCCCCGCCCCGAACCAGAGCCGGGGCTAAGGCTCTAACTCCGCGTCCGGTGGGCGCTCTCCCAGAACTCCCCCCCTGTCAATCTCAGCTCTGGCCCCGCCTCCCACTCTGCCGCTGGGAATACGTCGGGGGTCGGCCCCGCCCCTTCCGCCAGGGCTGTGGCGCAGGCACCGCCAGTTTTCCCTTTTCGGCCACGCCCCCACTCGGGGTCCTTCCTTTTCCGGATCCTCCTTTGGGGCCGTCCACCGATGTGCCTGACGATCCTGACAAGACAACAGGCGGCGGTATTTCCTTGGTTTCTGTTGTCCGCCTACGGGGGCAACGTATTATGTCCCGACTTTCCGGAGGATTCTAACCGGGACAGACAGTGTCCCTTCTTCAAGCACCGAAGCGGGGGTCTCTGGCACCGGCGCCGACACTAGACGCCTCGGGGCGGAGCACACACTGGCCGTGGGGGATGGGGGGGGGGTCCTCGCGAGTGGCGCGCTCTACAAAATGGAACGCGAGCGTGAGCCCCACGCTGTTCATTGAGGAAGTCGGAGTCAGGTAAGTGTTTCCTTCGTCTTCGGTTTCTTTCCGTCTGCGCGGCGGGGCTTGGGGATCTGGGCCGCGCGTCTAATGAGGTGCCCGGGGCTGTGGCGGGATGGCCACGCTGTCGCGTGGTCAGGACCACGGCCTTCGCCCGTATGTTGGGGCGTCTGGAGCGGGTGGGGGGCGCGCGCAGTGGGGAGGACCCTCGCCGCCGGAGCGCGGCCCGCTCCGCCATTTTGTCCGCCTTCCTGGGGGGCGGGATACTTGAGGCGGCGAGTTCTCCTTGTAATCAATAAACGCTTGCTTGCTTAAACCATCTATGTATGAGTCGGTAGTCTGTCTCTGGGGGACTCGCACTGTAACATTTGGAGGCCCCGGCGAAATACCCACGGGGGTCTCGGACCCCAGCAAGCAAGCAGCCCGGGTTCCTGTCTCCTGGCCGCGGCAGCTGACCTCGGACGTCCCAGCAGCATTGGTGAGTTAAGCGCCTGGTTTCTTTCTGTCTGGCGAGCGCCCATAGTTAGTGACGAGGGTGGCGGGACGCCGCCGAGGACCTTGTCAGAGCCAACGAGGTGACGACCTCC